CCTTAAATCCCACCCGTGGTCCAGCGGACCCCAGACCCTTTACATCGATATATTTTCAAATGTTTTCCCCAAAAATGGAGTTCATGCTCCCATTGATGATAGTTGAGTGCGTGATCTACCCGTTTGTACACTTAACAGTACTCAGTTTACTTAATTTTTTATACCATGTTGAAATTGAAATTTTAACAATATAAGCATTTTATTCTCTTTTCTAAGCCTTGAACAACATTGAAAATAATTTTCACAACTAAATATCAAAAAATCACGGAGTAAGGAGACATTTTTCATGCTGGGGTCTTTCAGACCCCATGTGTCATTTACGAGATTCTTGAGAGGTGTGGCATTTAAGGGTTAAATTTAACTTGTCGGTCTTGAAATTTCTTTTTTTTTCCTCAAAGTTTCAAGTTCGGCAGATGTACGTTAACGTAACGCGTTAATGTAACAGCGTACGTGAGTTGCCGGCGGCGAACGGCGTGTGAGATTCTGTTCTCTTTCACAGAACGGCAAGGAGGAGTCGACAAAGTCAGGTGAGTTGCTGGTGGAAACCGAGCCGATCCGTTACGAGCTGAGCGCCGTTAAACTCAACTGGCCTAAGAAGCGCGATATTAAGCGCGTACTTCGCGTACTCAGCGAGGCGACGATCATCAACCGCGGAGCGGAACCGGCGAACCTGGCGGAGGCCTGCGTATACAGGTACAAATACTCGGTCTACTGGGGCCGCAGGCACGCCATCCTGAACGGCCTGAACACCACGATCACGCTTATCAACGGCACATCCTTGCCGAACATAACGTGGGGTACGCGCGACGACGAGAATCGCACGGAGGCTTACAAGTGAGTATCGTTTTAAACTGTTATCCGAGCGACGAGGTTGAGCAGTAGGTATGCAAATTTAGAGCTTTTCTTTATGCGTATCCATAGATAAAATATCCCATTTATATTCTAAAAGATCGCAAAAGAGTACGCGTAGAACGACGGCAAGCTGACGTTTAAGTTCTGTTTTTGACGGGGCGTTACGAGAGAAATTGCCAATTTAGATGAATCCTATCCTACCTATCTCCCCTTCTAGCTTCGCTTTTATAATGATTACGAACATTGTAATGGTGAAGCGTAAAGCTTCCATCGTTGCTTTTGCAGCGAATTAGCGAATCAGAGGGGGATAATCGTGAAGATTTACGGTGCGAATTGGCGATACGGGGTGTTCAATGAATCATAAGTCGGACAGGCGTGTTACGGTTTGCAACGATTCAGTCCGTAATCTCATCTCGTATCTCTATAATTAGATATAATTAGAGTTCAGGTTTATTCCGCGGCATAACCGTGTCTCTCTCTCTCTCTCTCTCTCTCTCCCTCTCCCTCTCCCTCTCCCTCTCCCTCTCTCTCTCTCTCTCTCTCTCTCTCTCTCTCTCTCTCTCTAGTTAGCCCCCCGGGGCACTTCATCGCTTCCTGTGCATCATTGAAGCTCGCGCGCGGCGGAGATGAGCCTGGAGTGCACTTTGCGCGACTTCGTACCACCCTTCCCGCCCGTTATGCCCCAGAATACTCCGTCGCGCTTCAGCTTAAGTGATGCTTCAACGCAACACAATTACGATCGTGCATCGGACTCACGTTCCAGTTGCAGAAGTCCAGTGCTAAGTTAACGCACTCGATCCCCGAAGTAATCCTTGGTAATCCGAGATGTGTCCTTACATAAATTATAAATATGTATCTCTCTTGAATAACGAAGTTAAATTACCAATTGAATTTTTTGATAGGTGCAAGAGAGAGAGAGAGAGAGAGAGAGATTTCTCTAGATTGAGCCGACGGGCTTGACGTGTTTGTTATTACAGCGTGCTGGTCTATCTGGAGCCTGGCACAGGCGTGAACGTGACTCTAAAGGCGAACTACACGGACATGGAGGTACCATACACCGCGACTTTGATCTCGCATTACGAGGACGGCGCGACGACGTCGCGCGTGATCAGCGGCACTCGGCAGGAGGAAACGTTATTCGACATCACGCCGGAATTTGGGCCAGTCTACTTCCTGAGCAATTTCAGTCTGGTGCCGACCACCGTACCACCGCCTACCACGACCACCGAGCTACCGACCACGACGACGTTGATGACGACGACAACGACGATGGCGACGACAGCGAAGCAGCCGCAGGAGACGAACCGGGCGACGCATCGGCACCGAACGGACGACGCGTCGGACACGGTGAACCACGACGAGAATCTGATCCTACCGCCGAAGAAGACGGATGTGTCGACGGGCATGCAGAGCGACGACGGCGGTCCGCTGTCGCTCAAAGACAAGGTGGGATTGCACTCCGGTGTCACGTCCGTCGCGCTCCAATCGAGCCTGTTGACGCTCGTCGTCCCGCCGCTATTGCTTCTGATACTCCACAGAATCACGTGAAGGCCCGATCGCGCGTTTGCCGTCGCCGCCGCCACTACCGCCTCTAAACGTTAATTCCTAATTCCCGCAATAGTAATATAAAATAAATATAATCCAGTAGACGACACAGTAAACGAGAACGGAAAAAGGATTGAAAAAGGCAAAAAAGAATTACACAGGAAAAAAGAACAAAAAAAATATATACTACATATACGCGGAAAGAAAATTGCTGTAATTTCGTACGTAGCGCGTGTCGCGCGAATGACCTCTTTATTTGAACACACGTACATACACGCATCGCTGAATCGCGGTGCTGATATATGCTTGCCTTTAAAAAGAAACTCGAAATATTTAATATATGATATATCTATATTATTATATACATTTACACATGTACACATCCACACACACACATGCGTCTTTGGGTAGCAGATGAGAGAAGGAGAGAAAAAGTATCTTCGCGAACAATGGAGCTAGTCTCACGACGATGAGTCAAGTACAAGAGCGAGATCGCAACGACCGATATGCAGGTGGATTAACCTAGCCGCGAAACGTTCACCCGTTATACTGTTGAAGAACCGACCGCATAACATTCCGTCTTTTTCTAATCCCGCTGTGAATCGACTTTCCAGCTATAACGTTTATCTTATGCCTTCGCAAAGCGTAACTTTTAAATCCTTAAGACTTTAGGGAGATCAATCGCTTCAAGAGGGCACATTCTTTTCTTTTTAGAGCGCGTAAAGAGAAAGACAGAGAGCTTGTAAATGTCGCGAATAACGTCTTGGACGAGTATAGTAGCGTATACGTCGAATCGGGAGGCGAATAGAAGTTAAGCAATGGAGAAAAAAAAAGACAGAGCAAGATATGCGAGTTAATTCAGCTATGATATATTTTTGAGAATGCCGTATAATTTTAGAAGATTGTAAAATTTATAAGGATAGCAAATAAGAAGAAGAGAAAAGTGTAGGGATAATAAATAAAGTGTAGAGATGGATGGGTACGTTCTTTTTTGCGATACTGATTCTCGATTAAGTTCCAAAGCTATTGTAGCGAAACGACAAACGTAATGTTTGTGATGTTGTTAAGTGACAACGATATTCATGATCGCGCGTTGAGTAGAAAATCTGCAAAATATTTCTTGATATGCGTATCTTTCCTTTAGTTTTAAGTTTTCGACAAATAATTCGTACGTACCCATCTGTCGCCAGTGCGTAAAGTGATAGGATTTGCAGGTTTCTTAGAGTACTGAATATTGGAGAAGATTGTAACGATATGGAGAAGGGAAACTATTGGTATATATAATATAAATATCTGAATAATCCATTAATAAAGAAGAGAATAGAATATTTTGGTACGCGCGTGCGAAGTATAGAATTATTGAGTTGTACACGTTTCGTGGAAAGATTTTTTGTTCACTCGATTCAGGTGACGAGAACGGTCGTTTTTCATACGAGGTTGCGTTGTCAGCGTTTTTGCCGAACAAGTATCCACATATATATGTATATAATATGTATTTCTATGATCTTGATAGTTGTAATATTGTGTAGTAAGCTTATTTATATATAACATGATTTATAGATATTTTCTCTATCGATAGTAGCGCGTCACACACAAGTACAAGTCTTATATTTTACTACCGACGATGAAAATCCGTAGGATTAGCGCGAAAATCGTTTATTTCGGACTAAAGCGGAAGTGTCACTAAGGATGTTTATCAACGTAAGCCTACGCACGCCTGTTGTGATATTCAATGAAAAAGAAAGAAAAGAAAGCATCATGTTGAGCACGTCGTCGATTGCGAGAGAAAGCAATAATTCGTTGCGAGATGGAGAAAGACTTGCGCGAGAAAGCGAGAAAAAGGCGACGATATATTGAAAACAAACGCAAATAAAATTTGTGGTATATGTATCTATTATATTCGATATTCTGAATAACGTGACGAAACAAACGCGCGACGTAACGAGTGGCGGCGCGATTTTAGCGTAAAGCTCGACGGAGAAAGAAGCTGTACGTTCATACGATCCGAGATCATAGATGAAGGATTAATTTCTTGATATTTCACCCTGTACGCGCCGTAGATAGACGTAAATGAACCCTAAAGAAACTAGAGTTATCGAACCTCGGCGAAGCCAAGAACCGTTCCAAAAGTTGACTACTCTCGGATGTATTATTTGTGAATAATGCTGCTGTATTGTACATTATCATGTAAATATATAAATGCTATGTACATACAAAAAGTTCCCGGCGACGTTGCCCACATCTCCCAGACTCGCGGGTAAGTAGATAAAACAAGAACCAAGAATACGAGAGATTATATACATTTTTATTTAGAAAAAATCAAGATTATTCTACAAGAGATGTAATTAAAATGTATCAGTTGAAAGATACTAAGAGCACGGTGTGGTCGACAAAATCTAAAATTTTTACGTTGTCAAGGTATATTATTTATCCTAAATAATTGTTTAAAAATTAAAAAGTTGACGAGGATACAGATATGCATCTCGAGCATATAGCTTCCAGATTTACTTGAAAACAGGATTATGTGTACCTTGGCTATGTTTTCATTTACATGTAATATACACGTGTCGTGAGTTATCAATGATAAATTTCATCAGACTTACCAAGGACACCGTACTGCTGTGGAGTAAGTCTTTCATCGTTGTCTGGACCACCTGGCACAGAGGAGATGAGTGACGCACGATCACTAATGTGACTTCTAGTGCTGGCTTCGCTTCTTCTCGCCCAGGACGCTTGTGACAATACATCTAAACATTCGATGTAACACAAAAGGCGTATTATTTTGCTTTGTCATACAATCATTAATAATAAAACTTGAAAATTAGATTACCAAAATTAGCGTTCTTGACATTTCCTAATCTTGTTTTGTAGTCTCTGTAATGCCTCTTGGAAGGTGGGATAGGATGTCTCCGTCGTCTCTTCAAAAACTGTGCCAATCCTCCCAATAATATTGAACCGCCGGTGAAACAGATGATGATAATCTAAAAGAAACATTCGCACGTAATGGATCTGTACTCGCGCGCGAAGCAAGTCTGACGTACACAACAGTAACATTTCCGCGCGACAAGGCCATTGTTACAAAGCCCTGTAACTTCTTTTTTTGCATTATTATGTAATGATCAAGCGCAAATACTAAGTATTTATTCTAACCTTAAAGAGGCCGCGCCGATTTCGCTCTTACCTTTTGCGTGCGAGTCAAGTGTATCGCCGGTAACGAGACCATGTAACGCTGATATAACGCACCGAAGAAATGCCGCACGTTGAAAAGAGACATTGTCATTCACTTTGTTATAAACAATATTAACCAAAATTCATTCACGCGTGCTGCCGAGCGAGCCGAGGCCGAGAGTTTCTCTCGCTCTCGCGTGAAAACCGCCATCTGCTCATCTGCACTCTGCAGACAGTGCAGACCGTCACCCACCACACGGCTTCGTGATCGAACGCCCGCGCCGTCGGTTGTAAAATCTCTTTTGATAAAACAGACTTTATTCTCACATAAAATTAAATTATTCGTCATCTAATTTAAATCTTACGTAAGAAAAGGACGCAGTTTTTGCCTCAGAAAAGTTTCGTCTGGAAATAACAAAAAGAACAAAATTCTAGATGGAACATACGGAACTTTTTATTCTTCTTTCGTACAAAAAATAGTTGTTGATGAAATAAACACAAAATTATTGCGCAATCACGCAATATTATCCCAAGCGCAGGAGTCAAAGCACTCCTCGTCGACGTCGAGTAACTCTTTGAAATCGCTTGAGGTAGACGCTTCTTGGGCTTCTTGGAGATCCTTATCACGCTGCGATCCTTCGGAGGCCGAGCATCTATTGAGGAATGACGTTAGGGAAGGCTGCGTTTCCTCCAGCATCGCGACGTCGATGTTACTTATCGAGAAATCCTGTTTGAGGCCGACCGAGTTGAGGACGTTCATCTTCTTATTGATCAACGGCCATATATAATCGTCCGCAGTGTTTCTCGCCACCAAGTACTGGATTACGACGGTATCGTTTTGCCCGATTCTGTGCACTCTGTCTTCCGCCTGGCACAAGATCTGTGGAAACGTTTTCGCCGCGTAAGATTTATTTTGTTTACATAATCTATATTGAGATTCTTTCTTTATGGTAAATATATTACGTACACCGGGATTCCAAAATAATTCGGCAAAGACCACGAGATGTGCGGCCGTTAACGTAATACCCGCATTCGCGGCGGTGATTGACAAAACCGCTGCCATATAGTCATCGCGTTCTTGAAATAAGTCGACCTGAAGTTTTCTTTGCTCCGGACTCGTTTTGCCGTCAATCCTTATGTACCTGGAACGTGTCACACGTGCAATGGCGACATGGCGACATGGCGCGACACGTGTAAGATGAGAGAATACTTACCGTACATTCATAGATTTAGCAACCTCGCAAATGGCGGCCAAAACATTTTGGTGATGAGCGTACAAAAGGCATTTTTTCTTATTTTCAAACAAGTTTGCAACGTACTTGCTGTAATGACATTGTTTTATTAATTGAAATACAACAAGGTATTTTTGTAGAAAATAAAGTGTATACTATTTACATACCGTACTGCCTTCAGTCTTGCAAAGCTAGACTCGGTATAATATTGCAGTAGAGTCGTGTGCCTTTCTAAAGCCGTGGCAGTTTTCTCCATTTTCCTCGACATCTCCTTCATTTGCTTGCCAGTTTTGATCAAATCTGAATCTAAAATAATCACCTGCCTAAAATGTATAAATGGTATAAAACGTGCTTAAACACTTGTCACTCTTTCTCATGTAGATGTTTCATAAAAACGGTTTTCTTTCACGGACCTCATCTTGGATGGCAACTGATGTAGGACATCAGTTTTCATTCTTCGAATCATGCAATTGACCTTGAGTAATGATTGCAATTCTTGCATATTTGAACAACCTGTATATTCCCAACTATACACATCTCTCTGTCCTCCGCAATATCGCATACCATAGTCGTCGTAACTGCAAAATATAACACACTTGCAAAATATACGCGTATTTATGTAACGAAAGCAAGGTACAAAATATATCCATAGTCTTTTTGATTACCTCAGAAATCGTGTCGTGATAAGGCTAATTTGTGAATATAATTCGCTTGGTCTCGACAGAGCCGGAGTGCCCGTGAGCAATACAATATGACGTGCATGAGCACATATTCGTTGAGCAGCTTGAAATCTCGCGGTTTTAGTGCTCTTCAAAACATGAGATTCATCCTACACGTTTCGTAAAATGCAGTGTAGTAACGGTAATATTTATCTCTAGCTTGTTAAAAATATAATACAAGTGTATACCAGAATAACAAATCCATAAATATGTCTCTCGAAAACGTGTACGTTTCGTGCCAACAAGTCGTATGACGTTATGGTAATTTTGTCATCTTCAATGCGATCCTTTGTACTTGCAAAATGATGAATGTAATGTGTAGGTATGGATGGTAAAAATTCATAAATTGCTTCAGACCACTGGAACCTTTAGGTAAAATACTTTTAGTATCGACACCTTCATTATGCGTCACGCGCAACAGAAAACTTACTTGACCGATGAAGGTGCTACAATTAGGAGGGGCCAACTATCCTTGAAATAATGTGCTATGCCCAACGCTTGTATAGTTTTTCCCAAACCCATATCATCTGCAATCATGCAACGGCCGTTCTTCGATATACCATAACTGGAATAAAATAAGAAAATATATCAATACAACACATAATAAAATATAAAACACTAACGTGCACGTAAAAATAGGATTTACCAAATGCCATCTCGTTGAAACGGCATTAAAGTATCCAACAACTTTTTATCAATTTTTGATAAATCTTGTTCCGATTTGACTTGATTGTCCAACTTTAAGTTTCTCTTGAATATCTAAAACAAAAAGTGCTCAAGTATACACGCGGTTATACATTTATGTCTACCTAATCCATTTTTATTTTGTATCCCACGTACCTGAAAGACAGCCTCTGGTATTCTCGTGACAGTTATGTTACAGTTGTTGGACGTCAGTTTTTGCAATAAACCGTCATAATCGTTGAGATGAAAATTCCATATTCTAGTTTTCAAGTCTGCAAATTTAAATGCCGATAAATATTACAAATATTTGTTTGTATGCGTCTATCAAGTCACGTAACTTGTACGCTTACCGTATACTCTGCTTGGAACCGTCTTGAATATTTCAACGATCTCAGGTACAAAGGCCGATAACTCTACGGCAAATCTGTCTTGGCTGATCATGTAACATTTTCCTGTTACGTTCGAAGCTTGACTGAAAAAATTTCTGGGTTCTATAGGATTGAAACGAACATTTGATTTGTTCAGTCGCACGACATTTGTGCTGTCGCTTAAATGTGTTTGTTGACGTGCTGGACTATCTTTAGATAAAATTTGCGCCTTTAATTGAGCTTCCTGCCTTCTTTGCAGCGCTAATAAACGCTTTTTCTCAATTTCTTCAGGAGTACATTTTTTATCTATGAAAAAAAAATAAAAATTTCTCAATCATTACTACAAACCGTTGTTTCCCGACCTGAAGATAAAATACTGGCTTTAGAAAAATCTTTACCCATCTTATTTCCTCTGTTTTTGACGTGCTTCAGTAAATATAAAAATAAATATATATTCTTTGATATAAGATATATAACAGCCTCACGTATTCGTGCCCTGCAAACACCGATGCGTAATATTATAACGTTATTCAAAATGTAAATGCGCTTACTGCTCGTACAATAAAAAATGCATTACTTCTCTAAACCCAAGTCAAATTAGCAAAAAGCAAACGATAAACTTCTTAATTTCACACTGAAAAGATTCCAATGCTTCGTTGTGCTCCGCTGTAACAGTAAAAGTGTAAACAAAAACATCGAGATAGTCATTTTATAACCATACCATCTTCTCTTTTCCCTAGCGACACGTGTTGTTCGCGTTGTTTGAAATCCCCAAACATTTTTGCACTTGAAATGAGAGCCCTGCGTTCGTTTTCTCCCAATTTCTCCCACTGGGAGCATGTATATTTTTAATATAGTATAGTATATGTTCCCAGTGGAAGAAAACGAACGCAGGCGAGATAAATATATATTCGGCTTCGGCCGTTGGAAAGAGAGAAAGCGAAGATGCTGAGTGCAAAAAGTGCAAGCAACGCGAACAGACCCAGTGGACAGTCTGGGAATTTCTACATAGTAATTTTCAGAGGCGTTTAAAACGTCTCTAGGGAAAATTATTCGGCCCTTTCTCCGCAGTTTCTCTTAACGCATAAACGCGGGAAATTTAAACTCGTGAAATTGAAAAAATCTCGATCAAGATTTTATTTCTCTCTAAAGATGTTTTTTAATTTCACGTTGTACATTATTGCGCGTGTTGCATATTTCTATCAAATGGAACTTTGCGAAGATTGACGTTTTTTGTGCATTCAATTTCAAATGGTAACTTTTATCGGCCTTTCGCGTATGCGCGTCGCGTTTATTACGAGTGTCGCGAAGGTCGCGAAGTAGAAAGTTGACAACCGATGGTTTCGTTGCGAGGTCATGGGCATCGTTAATTATTTACCTCTGTCTGCGATTCGTTTACTCACGTCATACACGAGGTAATTTACGTGGCACGTTGCGTGTTACCTTGGTCTAAGTCTAAAGTGCTCTTATCGTGGTGTTGCGGTGTTGCGAAGTAAACGCCAAGTTCCACTATTAGGTTAGGTCTCATCGTTCCTGTCGTTCCCTATATCCGAGGGGTTTTCAAAGTCGCGCGACGGTGGATGACTGAAGTCATCTAATTGCGTCTAACTGTTGCGTTTAAGCGAAATGCTGTCAGTTAAGAATACCGCTACGTTGCCTTAACGAAGATCATTAATATCGCAACCGAATCCTCAAACGTTCATCATGTCAACATCAACAAAGGCGACACATGTGTGTGTATCAGGTATGTGATCTTGTAATATATGTGTATTGTATGAAGTATACGTGATTGACATTTGTAAAATACACGTTGATGTGTCGTTTCAGCAAAGTCGCATGAATTTGTCGTGCCAAAAAAATGCGTCAAGACGCCAAGTGATCTGGCACTTTGGGAAAAGTCAGAAGCTTACTACGTGAGACACGTTATATACTTTTTAATTTTTTATTGCTCTACATTTATTTCTATTACATGGTTATGAAATATATTCTGTATATGTATATATTTTTTATACAAATGGGAATTTTTTTTTTTTTTATTTATATGTGAAACATTACTTGTAGGAATACCTGGGATTTATTTTAGCCCTGAACGGGGCTGTTCAAGGGACGGCCTTGGACGCACAGTGTCCACAGTCACTTGTAATAAACAATGTTGTACAAATGTTGAACAAATTTGACGAATGGATAACAGAAATTCCACCTACCGAACAGCCCCAGCGATTTGGCAACAAGTCTTTTCGCACGTGGCATGAGAGACTACAACAGGTGTGTCTATAGTATTTTAAAATGTACTCGGTCAGAATATAAAGATCATTATTGAAAACGTGTAGAAAATTTAATTTGTACGCAATATTGACATTACAGAATGCTGTAGAGAACGTGAAACAAGTATTGCCAGAGGATTTGCATCGTGCGATCCCAGAAATAGTGCAGTATTTATATGAAAGTTTTGGGAATCCAACTCGCATCGACTATGGAACAGGCCACGAAATGGCTTTTCTCATGTTCCTCTGCTGCATGTTCAAGATTGGCGCATTTGAGGACAGTGATAAGATTGCCGTTGTGATAAAAGTGTTTAATAGGTACTTGGATTTTTACTAATCTAGCTTATTATATTGGTAGTATCTTGTATCTCGTAAAATTATTCACGTGTTTAAATCGGTTCCTTGGCTCAAAAGGTATCTGGTATTGGTGCGCAGACTTCAGATAATATACCGTATGGAGCCAGCGGGTAGTCACGGTGTTTGGAGCTTGGATGATTATCAATTTGTGCCCTTCATATTGGGAAGCGCTCAGCTTATTGGTACCAACTTTTGTGTAGTATATATTTTTTCATATATTCTTTATTGTGATACAATACAGATTTAGATCTAGAATGATGTGATGGCGATTTAGACCAAGGTCTTTTTCTTTTTATAAAATTTGTGATATCTTGTGTAATTTAATATTTTAGGACATCCACGGATAGAACCACGTCACTTTGTGGACCAAGGTATCGTGGAATCTTACAGCAAAAAATACATGTTTCTTGGCTGCATCGAGTTTATCTCAAAGGTATGGAAAGATTGTACATGTTTATATAAAAGATACAATGAAATTTACTGTACGCTTTTATCGATGTGATTTAATTTAATCAAGACTAAAAATCTTACACATTTTGATAACGATTGTATTCTATTAGGTGAAGATAGGACCTTTCCACGAGCATTCAAATCAGTTATGGAATGTTAGTGCGGTGTCTTCGTGGTCGAAAGTGAACAGTGGTCTTATTAAGATGTATCAAGCGGAGGTACGCGTACAGTTTGTGTTTGTAACGAAAAAGAATTGCCTCTATAATTTTTATTTTCCAGGTGTTGGCAAAGTTTCCCGTTATCCAACACGTTTTCTTTGGTTCTCTGCTACCTTTGAGACCAATGGCCGCGCAGTGCTCCAGTCCGCGCCATGTTCCGACGTACAGAAGCACTCCTGTTGGCAACAACGAGCCACCGCCACCAGCGACGCCGCTATGAAAATTACATGCATAATAAATATTGTTACCGTGGACTATTTTACCACGCTTCCCAGTATTTATTATAAAATTGTACATTATATATTATTATTGCCTCTCGCTCCCTCCATTCTATGACACTTTTATCAACTTTTAACTTTTAACCATTTCTCTAGCTTGTCAGAAATTATATTTGTTACGAAGAGAAATTATCTTAATATTTTGTTAAGAACGATATAAAAGTTATGATATTTAATGACTTGATGCGAATTCGATTAGAAAATTAGTACGATGTGCTCAAGGATTCTGTAAGCATTGATTTGCTCTTGATAAAAGTAATGAATTTACATCGTGAAGAAATAAAAAAAATCCCATGAAGAACGGCGTATCTGTGAATTCTATTATAGATATTAATTTTTGCAATTTATTCTTTAATCTATAAACCGCACCAATACTCTTTGCTCGAGTCATGATGTAAAATTGCAGGAGCCATGAACAGAATGGGCGCGTTCAGCAGACACAACTGTTGCACAACTGTTGAGTTCGTCTTATCGACACTCTGCCTCGATTGGTTGGTTCTAAAAGTATAAGAGCCAATCACGTTCGAACGCGACCAATGCAGAAGCCATATGCGCATGCACTATGGTATCTGCATTCTGCTCATGGCTCCTGCAATTTTATGGCCGGTATTCATAGTCGGTTCTTATTTCAAGACCGTCTTAAGTAATGTCTTAAGATGCTAATACGGCTTTGTGATTGGTTCATGACGTCTTAAGATTGTACTTAAGACGGTCTTAAATATAAAGAACCGACTATGAATACCGGCCGAATATGTGCTTAAAGGTGGAAGCACATAAAATTGCAGGAGCCATGAGCAGAATGCAGAAGCCATATGCGCATGCGCGATGGTATCTGTAGAGCTCTTCAGATACCATAGCGCATGCGCATATGGCTTCTGCTTTCTGCTCATGGCTCCTGCAATTTTATGTGCTTCCACCTTTACTCCGATTAAAGTCCTAATCGCTAAAGCAGGGCACACACACTTTTCGTAGAACGTAATAGTAAGGTTTCGACCAATCGCGTTGCTCAATTTGGCCGTCTGTAACCGTAAAAGTAAGAATCGAGCAACACAATTGGTCGGAACCTTAAGGTCTATCCAGACAAACTTGCATAGGTGCAAGCTATATGCATAAAGAAACGGATTGGTCTATTTCCTTATGCACATGCATATGGACCAATCAATTCTCTTATGCTTATGTTTATGCGCTATGCAAGTTTGTCTGGATTAAAGCGGGGGGCGCACACTTCTGCATAACGCATAATGCGTAAGCATAAGAAAACTGATTGGTCTATTTTCTTATGCACATATATATGGACCAATCAGTTTCCTTATGCTTAAGTATTATGCGTTGTGCAGAAGTGTTTGCTCCCCGCTTAACTGTTACGTTCTACAAAAGTTGTGTGTGCCCTGCTTAAAGCCCCGGACACACACATTTTCGTAACAGTAACGGTAAAGTTTCGACCAATCGGGTTGCTCGATTCGGGAACGTACGGCCGTACGTTCCCGATTCAAGCAACGCGATTGGTCGAAGCTTTATCGTTACTGTTACGAAGAAGTGTGTGTCCGGGGCTTTACTTCTGTAGTAACTTACGATAATTTACTTGTTTACTCGGAGTAAATTATCGTAAAGGGCCATCTACAATGAGTCGCAGTCGTAAGAGTCGTAAGAAATTGACCAATCACAGTCTATTATTCTCCTTGCGGTCGAAAAATAATGAACTGTGATTGGCCAATTTCTTACGACTCTTGCGACTGCGACTCATTGTAGATGGCCCTTAAGTTACTACAAAATCCTTTACGCGAAGGAAAACGTAGTATATATGTGGCCTAGTTTACAGTGGGCGTGTTCAGCAGACACAACAGGCTACGGTCAACGTAACGCTACAAATGCTTTGGAGCGTTTTTTTTCACTTTTTTTCTTCGATTCATTGAAAGTACAAGAGTAATGCTAAGACTCCATAGACGCGGAAACGCCGTGCGGTAGAGTGCGTTGACCAATCAGAAGGCTGCCGCAAGTCGCCTGCGGCAAAATCAAAATTTGTGATTGGTCAATGCACTCTACCGCATGGCGTTTCCGCGTCTATGGAGTCTTAGCATAATAGCGTTTTCGATTTGCGACTCAAACCGACTCGGGTCGCATCATGTATACAGGACTCTAGCATCATTGACGTGGAATACATACATATCTATGTATGCATTCCACGTCCATCGATGCGACCCGAGTCGAGTCGAGTAGTAAATCGAAAACGCCATAAGTTAGAGTGAAATATAATATAACTTGTCTCACTCTAACTTATTGCACCAGTTCAGTCCCAGCTCAGTCAGTGCAGCTAAAAGAAACAGACCCATTGGCCTATTGGCCTATTGGCCACTGGGCGGCGTGGATTGGATTATTGGAGGCGGCACCGTTTTCCAGGACGGTGGTTCCAGTCGATCGTCGATCGCCATTTAGTCTTTTGGTTAATCGTAATATTTTAGGTATCGAGTACCGAGCGATTCTTTCTTCTGTCATTTCACTGATAATCAGTACATTACTAGAGAAAAATGGTGAGTTTTTGATAATACATTTCGCGTTGACTAAAAAATAATGTAGCACAAATAAGATTACTTGAGTAACTTTGGTTTCACCTTTATTTGACCTCCATGTAGAGTCATATATCCATGTTCCAATTTTAATTTAATCACTTTATTTCGTAGAACATATAATGCAATAATTAGATTTTAATAAATAAGATTTTGTTATACATATATCCAATATATTATAAAATTTGTTAAATATTGGGCCTGGATATACATATATTAAGCCCATGTTTCATATGTTATCCTTATATATATATATATAATCCTTATATATATATATAATTAATTATATATATATATATATATAATAATTATTAAAACGTAATATTGTCAAAGGGGATAATTTTTCTTCCTTTTCGTTAATTTTATATTAGACGGAACCTATAAATGTCGTGGTTACTGGTGCTGCTGGGCAAATTGCCTATTCTCTGCTGTACCAGATTGCAGCTGGTACAGTTTTTGGTCCGCAACAATCCATTAATCTTCGATTATTAGATATTCCACCCATGATGAAAGTATTGGATGGTGTGGTTATGGAATTGGAAGATTTAGCACTTCCTCTCTTACGAGGTGGGCCGTGCAAGTTTAATTATTTATATTTAAAACTTGATTTTAAATAAAATGTATTGAATAATGCCTTATACATGCCTAAATATATGAATGTATAGTAAAGATAACGTGGGGGAAACATAATGTCGAGTTTTCATATTTTAGCAGAGCATTTTAAGATTCATTCATTTGGGTTTTGAAGAAATCATTTTTTAAGCATAACACGAGCAGTAATAATAACTGCGGTTTCCTGTTAAATCTTGTGTGAATAAATCGATGAGGGAAGATGTTATAAAGATAATACATAATCTTCAATGAATCTATATTGATGATATATGTAGATTTTAGAATATATTGTATAACATTATACTTTACTGCCACCACACCGTGCTATGCAAATAATACTTGTGTATTTCCAACTTTTACATTCACTAATAGCTCGTACGGCTGTATATAGATAGCTTAATTTAAATTTTTAGAGGTTTTGCCAACGGCCGAACCAGCCAAGGCCTTTGAAAACGTAGCTGCTGCTTTCTTGGTTGGCGCGATGCCAAGGAAGGAAGGAATGGAACGTAAAGATCTTCTGGCCGCAAATGTAGAAATTTTCAAGGTGCAAGGCGAAGCACTGGATAAGTATGCTCGTAAGGATGTCAGGGTGCTAGTCGTAGGTAATCCAGCCAACACTAACGCGCTTATCTGTTCGCATTATGCACCGTCCATTCCGAAAGAAAACTTTACCGCGATGACTAGATTGGATCAAAACAGAGCACAGGCAGCGTTAGCCGCACGATTAAATGTACAGGTAATACATATCAAACATATCGTTATGCTTAAAACTCAAAACGGTTTTTCGGATAAGGCATATGAACGTTGACTACTCTACTATTGCGTTTTGATATATTTTTCTTCATTTTTTCCCTTTACTGGAGATTTTTTTTGTATATACGTAGCGATACACGGCAAGACTGCACTTGAAGCTGTCGTAGCATTACGTGTGTTTTGTGCAATCTTGAATATTTCTATTCTATAATCTCGTTATGTGTGTGTGATACGACAGGTTGATAAAGTGAAGAACGTCATTATCTGGGGTAATCACAGTTCTACACAATATCCTGATGCAGCGCATGCAACTGTAGAGCTTTCATCCGGCGTAAAAACGGTACCATCTGAGATAAACGATAACGAGTGGTTGAATAACACCTTCGTAGAAACAATTCAAAAACGCGGCGCCGCCGTAATAGCTGCCAGAAAAATGTCCTCTGCCATGTCCGCTGCTAAAGCCGCTGGAGATCATATGAGAGATTGGTGGTTCGGTACTAAGCCTGGAGAGTGGGTTAGCATGGGCGTTGTGTCCGATGGGAGTTATGGAATCCCAAAAGATATTGTGTTTTCTTTTCCTGTCACTATCAAGGACAAGCGGTATGAGATAGTGCAAGTAAGTCGTTACTTAAGTGACTCTCGAAGCACGTTTAGCTCAAATACACAATATGTGACGTACGAAATACTCTGTGTTTCTCATATGTAGATTCTTTTCATACGTCTGAGATACTCGTATATTTTATGTATTAACACAGTAACGATTTAATGATTTGTACTTTTACACAAATAACGATAGTGTCTTTTTACGTGATTATACGACATTAAAATTATCAATAGTAAACGTAGTATCTCACTATACATTTATAGAAAAAGAAGACTCTGGAAAAAAGTCCATCTTGTAATCTATTTTCAGAATCTCCCAATTAACAACGTTGCAAAGTCAAAGCTGGATATTACATCCAAGGAACTGGAGGAAGAACGTGCTGAGGCAAACAACGTACTAAAAAAGTGACTAGTAACATCAGTGCCAAACAATGAGATGCGAGAGAAATTTGTGTCGGCAAAATTGTAGAATATATAATTATGTTGCATAATACACACACACACACACACACACACACACACACACACACACACACACA